CTCCGCCTGCCCACAGTCCGCGGGGCCCGGTCCACGCAGCCCAGGGCCGACTCAGCGCCAGTGGAGCACCTCTGCCGCCTTTGGGGGTCCTGGGGGGGGGGCTGCGGCAGGGGCAGGCTGTTGGGATGTCTTCGGTCGCTAGCAGGCAGAGAGGGGGTCGTGAATCAGTGAGAATATGGACAGGAGCAACAGGGGACAGGAGCCCGAGACCGGGCAGGGCCCCCCGCCGCCAGGCGGGTGCTGGGCGAGTCCAGGGGACAGGCCTGGCCAGCCGGGGTCAGCGCACAGGGCGGCCCACACAGGAAGGGCCAGGGGACGTATCCCCTCTGTCCTCGGGTTCGGGCTGCTTTCCACCGACACAGCGTCTGGGGTCTTCGGGCGCCGCCCTGAGCGGGCTCCCAGGGGCGCTGCGGTTAACGCCCCAGCTTCCCGCGGAGGCCGCGGCCCCCACGGCTTCCTGCGCCTTCTGCGCCTCTGTCCTCACCAGCCCCACTGGCCGCTACCCTCACTGGCCCCCTGGCCCGGCCGCACTGCAGTTTTCCCCGGGAGGCCCTTGGGCTCCGCCGCACCCCTGCGGAAGGCCTGCTGGCTGCGCCGGCCGCTACCCACAGCCAGCCCGCGACCACGTGCCCCGCACCCCGGCTGACGGGGCAGGGCTTGGGAATGCAGCCCAGAATTCTAAGAGTCTTCTAGAAATTCCAGTTCCCTTTGTTCACCTGCCGCACTGGGGCCCCGGGATCAACCTGTGTGGGTTGGGCGTGGTCAGAGGCCTGCGGCCGCCCGGTCTGAAGTCAGCGCAGCCCACTGCGAGCCAGCGCCTGAGAGGAGGGCCCCTTGCTTAACCGGGGAGCACGGGACGCCACGCCAGGGCAGCCTGTAGGCCCGGCTGGACCCAGGGGCTGCCGAGTTCGTGGCGAGCTCAGGCTTTCTGCCCTGTCAGGTCTGACTGTCGCTCTCCGTGCCTGCGCCGCCTTCTCCAGCTGACCCCCCGCGTGCCCTAGACGGCGCCGGGCAGGCGCCACCGGCCCTCGTCGCGCACAGCAGCCCCATCCCTAGGAGAAGCCCTAGGAGAAGCCGGGGTGCGCAGGCCTGGCTGTGTGGGAGGAGGGCGGGGCCGGCCCTCCGAACCTCCGCTCACGGCGGCGGCTGCGCACAGGACGCGTGGGTGTGAGCCCCCGGCCCAGCCAGCACGGGGGTGGCCGCGGGCTGGCCAGCGGAGGCCTCACCGGCTTGGGGAAGGCGGAGACACGGCTCCCACTCACAGTCATAGTGGACTTTTATTAGGAAATCACCCTGCAGACACACGGGAAGTGCTGTGCTGTGGGGCAACGCGTTTCCTGAGGAAGGAGGGTCACAGTATCAGAGCTGTCGAGGGCCGGCCGGCGGCTGCCCGTGCTGCCCGTGCCAGCCAGCACGCCCTCACAGCAGCCAGCACGCCCTCGCGGCGCCCGACGCGGCATCAGGACCGGCACACAGACGCGACACGAGAAACACGCCAGAGCACACACATCTGCCTACACGCGACAAACACGAACTCCACCTGCTGTCTGGGCCTAGCGCGGGCCCGGCGGAGGGGCTGGAGTGTCCTCCTCCCCGCTGGCCCCGGGAAAATCTCCCAAATTATCAAAATTCTTCAGTTACAAAATACTTTTTTAAAAACTCCATTATTAAAAGAATAAATAACAAAATATATTAAACCAAGTTGGCTGCGTGGGAATCACGGCCGCGTCCCAGCGACACGGCGGCCGCTCGCGAGGGGCGGCCACTCGCTAGGGCGGCCGCTGTCCCCTCCCTGCCGCTCTGGGCCCGGGGAGGGTCTGCTGACGTGTACGAACTCAATAAATAAAAATGTGAAATAAATAGCGAACGTTAACGTAAGTGGCTGTGAATATAAATACTTACATCTTGACGAAATTAAATAATTTACAGAATAATTAAACTAACTACCTTTTAAATTTCTGCCAGGAAGTGCAATTTCTCTACTTTTAAATACTAACTTGGAATTGCCGGCACGATTGATTTGGACTCTATTTACATGGTAGGAATGTCGTGTTTTTAACACACTGAATTAAAATTAGCCTTTTCCACATCCTGAATGGACTAAAAGAAGGGAAATCTTCTCACAGCTGGGCTGTGACTGGGGAAAACGGAGTGGCAGGCCCCGGGCCCGGGTGGGCGTGAGGGCAGCAGCGGCCCCGGCCGCTGGGTCTGTGCCGAGGCCCCCGGCCCCGGCTGTTTGTGTGGGCAGCCCGGGCACTGGCCGGCCGCCTCCCAGGGCGCTCGGGCCTCCTCCTCCCCACCCGGAGGGGGCCGTTCCCTCCTGAACACAAACCTGAACTAAATGAAAACAGGAGACACACCCGTGCGGGCCTGCGGCCCGCAGCAGGAACACTGTCGCGAACGCCGAAGCTTCCCTGAGAACCTTGTCCGTGCGTGAGCTGCCACTGGGGTCGCTGAGCCGCTCTTGAGATTTCTTTCAGAAAACAAAAATAGATCACTTTGTGACACCTCACGCCTCCCGGCTGCATGGGCGAGGCCGGCCTGGCCCTGCAGGAGGCTGCGGGGACACCCCCTGGCCAGGCCGGCCTGAGGGGCGTCTCCACCAGGAGGGCGGGCAGGGAGGTAAACAGTGGAGCCGGCCGGGCCGGGGCCGGCACAGGGCCGCGAGCGCGGGGCCTAGGCCTGGATGCCCCTCACGGCCTGCTGGATGCTCTCCAGGAGGGCCTTGTTCTCGGGGTTCTCGTAGCACTCCTGGTTGGAGTACATGTCGGTGAGGGCGCTCACGTAGGCATCGAAGTTCCGCTCGCAGATGGGCTCCTGCGGGGGGGGGCGGCTCTACCAGGGGCACCGGCGTCACCCGCCCGCCCGCCCGCCATGGGGCGGCCACTGTGGCCACCGCCCACCCAGCGGGCGCCCGGGAAGCCGGGGCCCGGCAAGAGGGGCCAGAGCAGAGCGCCCCCACGCCCTCCCCACCCGGGGCGCCGGCGCGTGCTGCCCACCAGGTGCGGAAGGCGGATGCTGGCGAGGCTCTGGATGAGGGCCTGGCTCAGGCCCGACAGCTCCAGGAACAGGGCCTCGTTCTGCTCCTCGATGAGCCTGTTCTCCTCCTCGATGGTCTTCAGGCTCTTCTCCATGGACGAGATCTGCGCCACACAGGGGTGATGGGGCCCGCGACCGCCACCCTGGTGCCCACCGAGCGCACAAGGGGGCCGGCAGACGCCCGGCTGCGGGGGTGGGGGGCCTCGGCACTCCCGCGGGAGCCTGGCTGCCTTTGGGTCACCCAGCGCGGCTCTAATAAGGCCGCAGAGGCAGACGGCAGCCGCGCCCCTGTCTGCAGGCCCAGCCCTGGCTCCCCGGCCCCAGCCCCCCAGCACACTGTTCCTAAACCCCAACCCGCAGGGGATGTGGGCAGGAGCCTCTCCCAGAATCAGGGACGCAGGCAAGGCGGGTTCCCGGTGCCAGCCACAGCCAGGGGAGATGCCGGTGCGGTATCTGCCCAGCCCGGCGCTGCGTGTCCCTCCGGGGCTCCTTCCCCAGCAGACCTCTGCAGAGGGCTGGGGGAGGACGGAAGGGCCCGCAGGCGTGTCCCACCCAAATGGGTCACAGAAAAGGGCCGCAAGGGAAGAGGCCCCAAGTCCGCAGAGGGGACTGGCCAGCACCTGGCGGCCGACGTGGGTGTGGGCGAGCGAAGAGCTGGCACCACAGGGTGGGCAGGGGCGGGGTCAGGGGCCAGGGCGGCCAGGGGGGTACCTGGGCCACTGCTCTGGGGCGGAGCAGGGGTGGGGCAGCGCCGCCAGGGGAGCCTGCCCCTCTCCCTGGAATCTGCCCCCTCCACCCCACCCGTGTCCCGCTGCCGCCCGCCCACCCCTGCGCCCCAGCCTGCTCTGGTCACCACCATCAGCGGAGGGGCGGCCAGAATGAGCTTCTTTTTCCAAACCAGCCCTTTGCTGCTGTTCCTGATGACAGCGCTGGGTTCAGGCCGCAGGAGGGCGGCAGTTCTCACCCCCCTCCACCCCAGCAGCTCAGCCCCTGGAGGCCTCCACAGCTCTCCAGGCGCTTAGAGCCCCACGGGGTCCTGCTGCTGCCCACACCCCTGCAGGATCAGGACCCCAGGCCTGGCCACAGGACCCGCGGCTGGGGGGTGCTAACGCCCTGATGGGTGCCCCTCCTCGGGGCAGGTCCGCACAGCGACTCCATCCCCTCCCACCCGGGCTGAGGGGTCCTGGGACCG